TATTAGACTGGGATGATTTCCCTATGTGGGACTATTGGACTGGGATGATTTCCTTCATGGTACTATTAGACTTGAATGATTTCCCTCTGTGGTAATATTGGACTTGAATGATTTCCCTCTGTGGTAATATTGGACTGGGATGATTTCCCCCTGTGGGACTATTGGACTTGGATGATTTCCCTCTGTGGTAATATTTGACTTGGATGATTTCTCTCTGTGGGACTATTAGACTTAAATGATTTCCCTCTGTGGGACTATTTGACTTGGATGATTTCCCTATGTGGTACTTTTAGACTTGAATTATTTCCCTCTGTGGGACTATTGGACTGGGATGATTTCCCTCTGTGGGACTACTAGACTTGAATGATTTCCCTCTGTGGGACTATTGGACTTGGATGATTTATCTCTGTGGAACTATTGGACTTGTAATGGCAAAAACACTGATGTTTCTGTTCAGATGGTAGCCTGTGTGTATAAAACACATGGTTTGTGCTGATGTAGTCAAAAGAAACTGATTCTGAAATCTAGTCTATATTTTGCGAAGCCTCCATAGCAAACAGCAGCATTGTTACATAGTTTGTCCCATACATTTACGATCTATATCTGGGTACTTCCCTGTGTTGATAAAGATTCACAGGAGTTCTCACTAATATGACCAGTCGTGTGTAGCAACTTTGAGTTGAAGGAATTGGAAATAAAATATTGTCGTCTCTTGAACTTATTTTAAAAAGTAATAATTAAAAAGTGCTGGAGTTAAAAGTCATCTCCTGTATTGTTTATAACAGGGTGTTACCTACACTGTACCTACACTGTACCTACACTGTACCTACACTGTTACTACACTGTACCTACACTGTACCTACACGTTACCTACACTGTACCTACACTGTACCTATACTGTACCTACACTGTACCTACACTGTTACTACACTGTACCTACACTGTACCTACACGTTACCTACACTGTACCTACACTGTACCTATACTGTACCTACACTGTACCTACACTGTACATACAATGTACCTACACTGTACCTACACTGCACCTACACTGTACCTACACTTTACCTACACTGTATTATATCTGAGTGTACATACACTGTACCTACACTGTACCTACACTGTATTATATATGAGTGTACCTACACTGTACCTACACTGTACCTACCCTTTACCTACACTGTACCTACACTGTACCTTTACTGTACCTACACTGTACCTACACTGTTACTACACTGTAACTACACTGTACCTACACGTTACCTACACTGTACCTATACTGTACCTACACTGTACCTACACTGTAGCTACACTTTACCTACACTGTACCTACACTTTACCTACACTGTACCTACACTGTATTATATCTGAGTGTACCTACACTGTACCTACACTGTACCTACACTGTACCTACACTGTACCTACACTGTACCTACACTTTACCTACACTGTACCTACACTGTACCTATACTGTACCTACACTGTACCTACACTGTTACTACACTGTACCTACACTGTACCTACACGTTACCTACACTGTACCTACACTGTACCTATACTGTACCTACACTGTACCTACACTGTACCTACACTGTACCTACACTGTACCTACACTGTACCTACACTGTACCTACACTGTACCTACACTGTACCTACACTGTACCTACACTGTACCTACACTGTACCTACACTGTACCTACACTGTACCTACACTGTACCTACACTGTACCTACACTGTACCTACACTGTACCTACACTGTACCTACACTGTACCTACACTGTACCTACACTGTACCTACACTGTACCTACACTGTACCTACACTGTACCTACACTGTACCTACACTGTACCTACACTGTACCTACACTGTACCTACACTGTACCTACACTGTACCTACACTGTACCTACACTGTACCTACACTGTACCTACACTGTACCTACACTGTACCTACACTGTACCTACACTGTACCTACACTGTACCTACACTGTACCTACACTTTACCTACACTGTACCTACACTGTACCTACACTGTACCTACACTGTACCTACACTGTACCTACACTTTACCTACACTGTACCTACACTTTACCTACACTTTACCTACACTGTACCTACACTTTACCTACACTTTACCTAAACTTTACCTACACTGTACCTACACTGTACCTACACTGTATTATATCTGAGTGTACCTACACTTTACCTACACTTTACCTACACTGTACCTACACTGTACCTACACTGTACCTACATTGTACCTACACTTTACCTACACTGTTACTACACTGTACCTACACTTTACCTACACTGTACCTACGCTGTACCTACACTTTACCTACACTGTACCTACACTTTACCTACACTGTACCTACACGTTACCTACACTGTACCTATACTTTACCTACACTTTACCTAAACTTTACCTACACTGTGCCTACACTGTACCTACACTGTACCTACAATGTACCTACACTTTACCTACACTGTACCTACACTGTACCTACAATGTACCTACACTTTACCTACACTGTACCTACACT